TATTTTCTCTGACCATAATGAAATAAAATTAGAAATCATTAGCAGATCTGGACAATCCTCAAATATTTTGAAACTAAATAAATACCAAGTCCATTCCCTGAGCCCACTATGCTGTATAGATGTAGGGGTGGAGGGGACAGGTTACATGAAAAAAAAACTAAACACACTGAGCTATAGAGTTCACCAGCAACACCTAAGTATACATATCCTTTCCACCTTGTAGTTGCTCTATGATCTTGGTGAAGTTACTCACTTCTCTGAGCCTATTTCTTAATCTAGACAATGGGAGTAATACTTCTATTATTATATGTTATTCTCAGAGTTGTTGTAAGAATTAAAAGAGTTAATATATAGAAAGTGTCCTATACCATACCACCCTAGCTTGTATTCATTTACTCAGTGAACATTCTCTCCTTCCATCCTAAGTTCACACAGTTCTTGACAGGATTTGACCTGCAGCCTACATATTCTGATTCCTTAGCATTCATTTTTCAACTGCAAATTCTGTTTTGAATAATCATCTGCTTTTATTATTTATTCAGTAGCTATTTCAGAAATAATCTGAAGTATTGTAATAATTTGCAATCAGTATTTTTTTTGTAAAATAGTATAATAATTTACTTTAGGAGATATATCTTTAAAAATTATATATGCATATCAAACATAAGCAAATTATTTGATTCCTACTTTGGCAACTAAAATTCCCATTGGTTTTAAAGGTATCATTGAGTAATAAATGGTCAAACATGGTGTTTGGCTCCATGTTCAATAAGAAAATGATAATAACAAAGTCAACCACAAATATCTCACTTGGAAAATAGTGAAAAGGCAGTATTTTGCATATTGGTATTAGATACAGATTTTATAAAATACTAATTATGCATTTTAACAACAAATACAAAAGAAATTTAAAAACAATGCTCTGAATGCTCTGGAGTCATCTGGAGGCCTTCACCGAGGAGATAGAGTTTGAGCTAGAAGAGGATATAGATAAATAAAAAACAAAAATAATTAAAACCTAGGATGTGTACAAAGGTAATAATTGATTTTACTTTGTGTGAATCTTAAGTTAATGTTACTCTTGCTTTTTTAGAAATCATAATTTTCTCCTTATCAAAATTACTACTAGTTATTGTACAAAGTGTTTCATGCTTTATATGTACGCCATCAACAAATTTATTCATTTTGCTCAAACATCACTCCTGTCATCTAAAATATTTTAAATTATCAGCTCATATCAACATTTAAAAATAAAAACATGGCAAGTTGGCATGAATGCACCTACTCAAAGGCAAATAATACACCCCTTAAGCAAATCATTGTGTTTATGGGCTCACCATTTTGTTCAAACTAATCAGATCATGAAGGAACCAGTAATCTCATTTCTCTGTGCTAACTCGTCAACACATTCAGATGGCTCTTAGCATCCCATTGCAGCTTTCCTAAATGTTTGAAATCCCATGTGAAGCTCATCACTTTGCTTCTCCTTCTCAGACTGTGCAAATTAAAAATCAAGCTAGCAATAGTCAATCATTCTTCTCCCTTTTGTCTACAGTGCTTGTTCTTTCCCACTGTCCGTATATTTATGCCTTCCTTGTTTTGTCTCTTTACCTACAGTAGTTCAAGGAATAGTTCAGGGGCAAGAAGATCTTGCTTTCTAACTCAGGTAAAACAAAACATTCAACTCATTCAAGCCATCAGCCATCACCTTTTCTTCCCTGAATACTTCGTTTCAACTTCATCAAAGGAACCCTGCTGATTTTCTAATTGACCTCATCTCCATAATAATTTTTGAAAACTTTTTTTAAAGGTTCTTCTAAAGTCCTTCTGTCATCTAATTTTTGTCTTGTTCCACCAAGTTTGCATATATTCTCACTGTCTTAATTTGAGCAATCAATCCATATTTGGAAAGATGTCGTTTTGTCCTAAAATAGCTATTGAACTCTACTAATTAACCACACAAGATTTTTAAAAATACTTGATATCTTAGCACCTCAATACACATTTTTCTTGAGCTTCTCAAAATAGCTTGTTGCTTTTTTATTAATAGTCTCAGAGCATCTTATGAATGATTAATGCTTATATTATTCACTTATTGATTACTATTAATAATTATTAAGAACTATGTGACTATTATTTATTAATAATTAATAATTGAATGTTATTGATTATTGACTTTTATATTAATATTATGCCTTCCAATTTTTCCAAATGTTTTACATTTGGTTTCTCTTTTCATATATTCTTGACGTATCTATGCCAGTGTGGTCAAAGCACAGTGATCAAATGAGAAAAGTAGTGGCAGCCAGACTGGAGGAATCCAGGACTGCCACCATATACAGTGTTTAAGTTGCAGCCTGCACCAGGCCAAGGCAGCAAAGGGAGCTGGAATCTAGCCTGTACTCTGCTCATCAAGTCCTATGCCTGGCATGAGACTGTTTTCATCTAAGGAAGGGGTGCTTTGTCAGTTTACACAAAGGTGTCATATGGGCTAGTAGTGGCCCTGTAAAAGCTCATATAGAGGAGTTTTGATATATTAATGCCTTGAGAAACCACAAAGAAGGAATTTAAAAAACCTAATTTATACTTTGTAAAGAATACTGTGCTGTGTGTCGTAGCATGGGTTGGAGCGAAGCAGGAGTGAAAGTGAGGCGGGTCAGGAAGTGATGGTGGCCAGAACTAGGTGATCGGGAAGTGCTAATGAAAGTTGAGACATAGAGAAATGGATGCAAAGCATCTTTTGAAGGTAAAATGAACAGGATTTTGTGTTGGTTTGGGTGGGGAGGGTAAAGGAGAGAGGTGTGAAAGATGATGTTCCAGTTACTGACTTGAGTAACTAGATGAATGGTAGAGCTGTGTCCTGAAATAAGGGGGAGAAACAGGCTATGGGAGGAGTATAGTTACAAGATTTCTGGGTCATACAATTCGTTGGAGGCACCTGTGAATTATCTAAATGGCTACCAGGAGGCAAAGTGGATTTACGTACCTGAAATTCAAAAGAATGTCTTCTTTTTTTCTGAGTGCCCCTGAGACTTCCTTTGTCTTCAGCAGTCTGAGAGCAGCCCATCCGAGTAATTCTGTAGTTCTGTAATGTTGCTAAAAGATCATCAGTAGCCTATTATCCCAAACAATCCAGAAGTTTATTTTGAAAGGGCTAAAATCCAATACTGTATAAACATAATTACTTTCCCTTAAGGCAGATGCTCAATCTTATACCCAGTACAATAAAACCAATTGACCCCACACTGGGGCTAGTCTTCCATCTAGTATTTTATTTAATGTAAAGGACTTCCTTTAACTTTCTTAGCAAAATTTGTGTCCTTGAACCCTGATTTCATTGTTCCCTTGAGAAATTTAGGTTGATCTCTTTCCTTGTCTTGGTGGCCTAAATCACACAGTCACAATCAGTTGTGAGTTTTTCTCCCGATTTACCTGGTTTTACCCTTTCTTAGAGTTTATAATCCTGGCACAGTGTAAGCCCAGAGCCAGCCTGTCACTGAGATTGCCTTCTCCAGTCTCTCTAGATGAACTCCCAGGAGTAAATTACTCCAGTACTCATAGATTTGTTCTCTTTCCTGTTTCAGTAGGCAGAGCCAAAACCAATGGTTAAAAACCACATGGAGAGAGATGTTGGCTCAACTACAGGAAAAACTGCCTAATGCTTAGTGCTGTCTGAAAATGGAAATGCCTTCTGGGGAAGGAGTGAGTTATAGTTTCTGGAGGTGTGAGGCACCCAGCAGTCAGTCATTTAGTATGGAGTCAGTAGTAGAGACTGAAGGATCAGAGTGTGGAAGTACTCTCCACTGACTATTAAATTCCTACTCATGTTAGAGCTTTACACAGAAGCTGTGCCTCCTTTAATCCTCATAACAACCCCTAAGGGAACTAGTTATAACCCTACCAGGAAGGGTTACAGTCACAAACTTAAGATCACTCAGTTAGCAAGTAGCAGAGCCAGGATTAAGAGCCAGGATTTAAACTCAACTTCATCTGCATCCAGATTTCTTGCTTATTCTTTCCACAATTCATGGAAACATGAGAGATTGAATTAGGGGATTTCTAAGGTCCCTTCTAGCATTATGATGCTATCTGAGTCAAAGTATGGATACAGATGCTCTTCACCTTTCAGTGGAGTTACATCCTGATAAACCCATCATAAATTGAAGGTATTGTAAGTCAAAAATGGGTACTCTGTAGACATGATGGAATGTGAAAACACAATATCTAAAAAATACTGGCAACACAGTACATACACTGTACAGTATCAGTTGTTTGCCCTCATGAGCACATGGCTGACTGGGAGCTGCAGCCCACTGACACTGCCTAACATCCCAAGAGAGTATCATACTGTGTATCAACAGCCCAGGAAAAGATCAGAATTCAAAATTTGAAGTATAGTCTCTACTGAAAATGCATATTGCTTTCTCACCATTATAAAGTCAAAAAATCAGAAGTCAAACCATTGTAAGTTGGAGACCATCTGTACGGCATTACTGACTCTTTTCCTTTAATCATCCTTCCCACTTTAGTCACATTAAAATGACAATCCGTGACTCCAAAACTTTCTATGACCTCCATCAAGAAAGGGCCACTTGAAAAATCAACATTTGTACTTTGTATTCCCTCTGAGTTTTAAGCAGAACTTAGTCTAAAGCCCTCAAAATCTGCTTAAAAACAAAACTTTAATTTTCTGACTTGCTGGCAAGGACTGAGTTCACAGTATAAATGAGCAAGTAACTAAGCTTTTAGTATTTCTGAAAACTGTCGTATAGTTCTAACTCCTCTACTAATTTTTCAGGTCTTAGAAGGTGGTGGAATATTTGGCACAAGGTCAGTTTTTCTGGCCCAAGTTTTAAGTCACATAATTTTTTAGAATTTTAAAAATAGTTTAATTAAAAATTTAATGTCAGAACATTTTAAAACTTAGAGTTTGAAAATAAGCTTAATGTACTTATTTTAAGGTAAAATGGTTTTACATGTGTTTTAAATGCCATTTCTAGATTGAAGCAGAACTTGCCAAGGAAAGGGCCCAACACTTGGTTGAATTTGAAGAGCAAGCTCTTCTCTTTAAGGAAGAAACAAAACTGCAACTTGATATTGAAAAAGAAAAACACCAAGATATAATCCAAAAGTATAAGAAAGAACAAGAGGAACTACAAATGAAGGTCTGTAATTATGACGTTCATCATTATTTAACAGATTTGAAACTGCAGATGTTGTATATTTCGCCTTAGAACACTACAGTATTTATGATTCCAGTAGCTTTCACTCATGGTCACTGTGTCTTGCTTGGTTTTAGCCAGGCAGATAAGATGGTTTGGCTAATTCTCCAGAATGGATAACTGAGATAAGTTATACAAGCATGTAATCTAGCTATGTATGGATTTTTTCTACTGGAATAAACTTATTTTTTAAACATCATAAATTATATGACTAAAAATTAGTATGGCTAGATATTTCAACACCTCAAATATCCAACATCAAAAGATAATGAGGTATTTTACATAATTAAAATTTTCCCAACAACTAAAGCATATACCCTTTCATTGCAGATATTTTTCATTCTCAACATTTCTGAATGAAGAGAAATATTTTAAAAATGTAATCACATCTCCCTAAATTTCTTAAGCAGTATGTTCTAAATACTAAAGGTTTTGTTAAAGTTTTCCTGTTTTTATAGGACTTGAGTGTAGAGTGTGTATGTGCATATGTGTATTAGTCAAGACCTAGTGTGGAAATAACATTTTGAATACATGCATAAAGAGTCTGTGTTAATTAAGCATCAGACAAGACCTAATGGCTTCTACATTTGTGTACAGGAGGTATGGTAGATCCATTTCAGTAGTCCATTGTGAACAACAGGCAGCACCAGCTACATGTGTACAACCAGTGCAATAGCACATGGTCCCACACTCAGAAAGGTCTCATGCTTTGGATGTAATGCTCTGCAGGTATACCTTGAAATTCTTAATAAGCTAACTGGGCATAGTGGCTCATGCCTATAATCCTAGCACTTTGAGAGGCCCAGGCAAGAGGATCACTTGAGGCCAGGCATTCAAGACCAGCCTGGACAACATAGCAAGACTCTGTCTCTATTTAAAAAAAAAAAAAGATTTAATTAGCCTAGTGTGATGGTTCATACCTGTAGTATGTTCATACCAGTTAATACCCAGGCTACTTGGGAGGCTAATACATGAGGTTCACTTGAACCCAGGAGTTCAAGGCCTCTGTGAGCTATGATCACACCACTGTACTTTAGATTGGGCAACAGAGTGAGACCCCCTTTTCTAAAAGAAAAAAAATTTGTAGTGATTTTTATCTTTGAACTTGAGTTTTGTAAGTGAAATCCTACTGGGGCAATGGAGCATGTGCTACAAGCTTACAGCCTTGGCTCCCCCAAGGTTCTGCCTCCCCTAGAGGGTTCTCACCTCTTGCTTCCTGGCTTCTGATGCCCCAGGCTCCACTGAGTCTCCCCTTTTCTTCCTCCTCTCACTCTGTGACTGCTGTTGCAGCCCTGGGTGGTTCAGGATCCCATCAGCAAGAGAACGCAGACAGGCAAGCTGGAACTTGCCAGATGTTACAGTTTCTCAAAAGAAGTCATAAATCCACATTTTGTAAGTGAAACCTCCTGATCTTTAAATGTTGACTGCCTTTTAAAAAATAAAAACATATTTGTGGTTATGTGAACCTCTTCTCCCAAGGATAACTTGCTTTATTTCAATGTCAGCTCTCCTCTGGGTGATGGAAACCACTGTACAGACCTGACAGTGACCTTCTTCCCTCTTGGATTAATTGAAGATAATAGAATATTAATTTATAAAATTATGAACTATGGTGAAGAGACTTCTCACACAAGTTATTCTTTCTGTAAATTTAACATTTGAAACAAATTTTGGATACACAACTCTTTTTATGTAATAGTTCACAAAGTCCTTGGAACCTTGGTCTGTGAATGTTTTCCAGATTCTTAGTGGGCTAGTTTCTTGTTGTGCTAATATTTATAACATGACAATAATTGAGCGTAAGTAATAAGGATATGTTCCATTAGAAGCAGCTCTTGTTTTGTTGTTTTGTTTTTTAAGGAGAAAGAAAACAAGAGGTCTTTTCCTTTCTAAAGACTTTCATGCTATGAGGAAAAGCTTCTCCAAGTTATTCTCTCATTCATTTATCTAGAGGTACCACCTTGAGAAGCAGTACATTTTCAGAATATTCAGGTCACCTGTGGCTATGAAAGTTTCCATTAAATTAATTAAAATTAAATACAATTTAAATTCAGTTCTTTGGTCACATTAGTCATATTTCAGGTGCTCAATAGCCAATACTCTTTTTTGAGAGCTATGGTTAGAGTACTTACACCATGGAAATTAGATACAAATATTGCTTTTTTTTCTTTTTTTGAGAGTCAGTTGTTAAACATTTACCAGCACTGTCAGTAGCCACATGTGCCTAGTGACTACCATATTGGATAACATAGAATATTTCTACCACCACAGAAAGCTCTGTTGGGCAGTACTATTCTGGAAGGCATAGTATCTGGAGTTCCTCCCGCCATTATTTACAAAAAAGAAAAAAAATTATGTCAAAGAAAAATTTATTGGTATACTTAGGGTAAAGTATAACTTTAGCGCTCTCCTCCTTGCATTCCCCAAAAATCAGGCATTTTGAGATCCCAAAGCCAACCTAGTTAGGTCCAGACAGGCCCCTGATCTATTTGTCAAGACTTTAACTGAGACTGGGCACAGTGGCTCACACCTGTAATCCCAGCACTTTGGGAGGCTGAGGCAGGAGGATTGCTTGAGCCCAGGAGTTTAAGAACAGCCTTGGCAACATAGAGAGACACCATCTCTACAAAAAATAAAAAATTACCAGGCCTGGTGGCATGAGTCTGTGATCCAGCTACTGGAGAGGCTGAATTGGGAGGATTGTTTGAGCCCAGGAGGTCAAGGCTGCTGAGAGCCATGATTACACCTCTGCACCACTGCGCTCCAGCCTTAGCAACAGAGCAAGACCCTGTCTCAAAAAAAAGAGTTGTCCTATCCTTTGTAGCTTAATATAGTCACAGAAATTTATATATTTCCAAAAATTCCCAAGTGATTAATGTGATACTGTTTTAAGTAGAAAAATAAATGTTTTAGTCTTTTAAAAAGAAAATCTTGAAGGCCTGCATGTCATGGGTTTGTTTTCATCTGATCAAGTGAGTACACTGATTAATGAGAATAAACCTCTTAAAAACCGTAAGAATTCTGTGGTTACCTAGAAACTATCGCCTACAAACTAATATGAGATTTATCTTACAGATATCTGACTTAATCACAGGCGCTACAAGAGATCTAAGACAGGAAGTGACCACTCTTAGAGAAAAACTTCACGAATCCCATATTCGGTACACTGAAGAATCTAAGTCAAAGGAAAAAGAAATTGAAAATCTTAAAAATTTGGTTGCAGAATTTGAATCTCGCTTGAAGAAGGAAATTGACAGTAATGATTCAGTTTCAGAAGACTTGAGGAAGGAAATGAAACAGAAGTCAGATGAACTGAAAAGAGTAATGCTGGCTCAAACACAACTGATAGAGCAATTTAACAAGTCCCAGGAAGAGGTAGGAAGCAGATAGTGGTACCTTTGCAATTAATCAAAGAGCACATGTTCTTTCAACAAACAAACAAAAACGTGAAAGGCAGCTTAGTTTCCTGGAAAGAGCCCTGGAATGTTAGTCTGACCTAAGTCACATCCTGGTGCTCTGTCCTTAACTTTAGGCAGTCACTTAGCCTCTCCAGACCTGGCTTTCCCTTAAACTACATAATCTCTAAAAGTTTTCTCGGCACCCAGTTCTTTCTTGCAAATAACTATTTTAAGCCTCTAAGATTAGGAATTTTTATATGTTTATATCTTATTTGTTTTAATGTTAAATCTTTGGCAAATAAACTTTTAGAGCACTTTCTGCATACTTAAAAAAAAAATTAGACTGTCTTTTAAATACAATTTTACCATAGGTTTTTACCTTCCTATCAATGTAAACTTATAAGGTAATAGGCATGCATCAGTTTTCTTTCTTATGTATGCATGATTATTTCAGTGATGTTTTTCATTCAAACTACAGTAGACTTATTTTGATTTGAAAACATTTTTCAAAGTATTATGTCTGAACTATTGAAGAGTTTAGAAGTAGTGAAACAATTCATCTGTTCTCTAATCACCAATATCATATCACATTACAATATTTGATCCCTTTGATGACAGTATAGCAAATAAAGGCAAATGGAGGAAGATTCTGAATGTTGGTGAGAAGTAATATTTTTGTTGGTTTGATTGACATCAATAAAGTCATAAAAGGAAAGCGCTAATAGCAGTATTGATTATTAACAATTAAATATGCCATGGTCTTGCTATATTTAAATTATCAGTCAAAATAGAAAGTTTACATCATCATTGTAATTATGTAATCATGAAGTCAACCTATTACAATGAAGTTATAAATTTAAAATAAAATATGGAATAGACAGAATACTAGATCAAGAATAATGCCTAAAACAACTGTATAAGTAGAAATTATTTACAAGTTACAAATGAGGAAGAGACTGAAGAAGGCTGAATAATTTCCATAAGGTCAGACAGCTTGGTGGAGCTAAGATTCAAATTCGAATCTCTATGATATGATGTTTCCTCTTTTGGGAAACCTAGTTCTTATTATTCTGCTTCTGTATTTCACAGTGACAACAGACTTAGTTAACATCTCCAGGGACTCAATTTTCTTTTAGTATTATAATTAAGACAAAAAGATGATGAAGTGTCTCTTGTTGTTACATAGCAGCACAGTCCCCCCAGTGAAGGAAGCCGCACCCCCAGTTCAGGCAGGAGTAAGGTGGAAGAGCACACATGGACTTAGCTCCACTGAAGAAACCCTGAGAAAGAGAGACGTGATGCTGATTTGCCTCAAATGCGACAGCAGTAGTGAATCTCTAGAGGAGGGAAGCAGGGTAAAAGACAGAAAGGTCAAGGCCAACTAGACTAGCAGGTTTCCTAACTATTCATTCACTAAAGAAATGGCAATATAGAAAATGAGGAGTAAATTATAAACTAGGAGAGGTAGAAAAAGACGGAAGGGTCAAATTCAGTAAATGTATATTAGCATCTATGTTACTCTGTTCTTGCCTTACTCTCAAGGAATATGTGAGACTGGATAATTTATAAAGAAAAGAGGTTTAGTTGGCTCATGGTTCTGCAGGCTGAACAGGAAGCATAGTGCCTGCCTCTGTTTCTGGTTAGGACCTTAGGAAGCTTGCAATCATGGCAGAAGGTGAAAGAGAAGCCCAGTGCATCACGTGGTGACAGAGAGGTGGGGGGAGGTGCCACATTCTTTTGTGAACTAACCCAGCAAGAACTCATTCATCAGCAAGGGGATGGTGCTAAGCAATTCATGAGGGATCTGCTGCCGTGATTCAAACACCTCCTACCTAGGCCCCACCTCCAACATTGAGGATTACATTTCAACATGAGATTTGGAGTTGACAAACTTCCATACCCCATAACAGCATCTATCTGGGTGCCAGGCACATGATGATATAATTATGAATAAGACTGACAACTGCCACTTCCTGCTCTCAAAAAAAAATTTAAAGAAAACTTTGCATAAGTAATTAAATTAATATCCAAAGGAAAGAATGATCTAAACAGAATTTATCATAAAAACAGCATAGACTGAAAGCTAGAACATTTGCCTGAAGAGCCGGTATAAATTATCTATTGCTATGTGACAAATTATCCCCAAGTTTAGCAGCTTCAAACAGCAAACATTTATTATCTCGTAGCTTCTGTGGGTCAGGAATCTGAGCATGGCTTAGCTGCGTGTCTCTGGTTTAGAGGCTCAAGTTCTCTCCTGAGATTGGTGTCAGGGTGTCCACTGGGCTGCAGTCTCATCTAGAGGCTCAACTAGGATGGGATTGGGTTTCAGGCTTACTTATATGGTTGTTGGCAGGATGTATTTGGCCAGAGGCTTCCCTCAGTTCCTTGCCACATGGACCTCTCCATAGAACAGCTCAGTGTGTCAGCTGACTTCCCTCAGGGCAAGCAAGTGAGTGAGAATGAGAGAGAGAAGGTGCTAAGACAGAAGCCACAGTCTTTTTGCAACGTAATCTCAGAAGACACATCCCAATGTTTTTGCTGTATTCCATTCATTACAAATGAATCAATAAGTCGAACCCACACTCAAGGTGAAATCATTGCACAAAGATATGAATATCAGGAGGGTAAGGATCATTAGGGGGCATTTTAAAGGCTTCCAATCACAGGGCTTCTGGAGGTGATTTTGGCAAGAGAAAATAGACTAAAAGTGAAGAGTGGATTTCTTCATCGACAAAAGGAACTGCATTTGGAACTCTTCCTGCTCATTAGTTGTTAAAAGAAGCCACTTAGGAATAAAGCTTCTTTAAAAATGTGGACTGAAAGACATAAGACATTGGGTTGGCATGTAAATGATCATAGATCATTGCTACAGAGGAGAAAAGGATCATCCCAAAGGTAAAGAAAACCAATTAAGGGCATACTTAGGCGGGCAATATCCTTTTGTGGGAGGAGGGAGAGTAGACTAGATTTTCCTTTAGAAGTTACCAGAATATCACCTCAAAGTTAACTAATTTGAACTGAACTGTAAGAGTAAATAATTAAGGCTGCTTATCTGGCTAAGCATGCCAGAGTCCAAAATATGCTTATAAAAATAGGAAATGAGCCAATAAAAGGGATAGGATTTATGAGCTAGAAAGAATAGAGGCCATAGCATGTAAAGTGAAAATCACCACGTTTTTTGATCATGCATTCCAGACACTTGAAATTTCTCAGATTCTGGAGAAATAAAGCTGCATTTAAGTGGAAAACAAATTCCCATTAGAATGAAAATAAATTAATGGTCTAATAAGGAGGCTAATTAAGAGGAAGAAAGCCCTGTTCTCTTTTAAGTGGCCAAATAACGGGTAGACTTTGTTTTTAATTGTATGAAGAAAGTTCTCAAGGATAAGAGGAAAGCCAAAGCCTCTAAAGGGCAAAATGGGCCTTCCTAAATGGAGCAGGGATTATTGGAGCGCATCCCCAGAAACAGCAAGTGTCACAAAGCAGAGCAACAAAGGGTGCAGGTCAATGAAAAGAGAAAATGGAAAATAAAACTGTGCTAGAAATGTAAATGTGAACAAGGAGTCCCTGAAAAGATACATTAAAAGATTAGAAAGGAGGGAGAGAGGGAGTGAGAAAGAAAGAAAGTTAATATGTTAGAGAATAACACTTATCAGTAAAACCAAAGTCAAAATGGGTCATGTGCTTCTGATGCTCATTTTCCCTCCTACTGGTTCCATGTGAGTACAGTCAAGACAGTGTGACCCCACTGTTAGGGACCTTGTTGTGATCCAGAGGAAGAATGTGGTAAATTCAAGTAAACAGCTCATATACAATCACTGAAGGAAAATCAGTACAGATAGTTCAATATTTTTGTTGTTTGAAGACCACACATAAGGGAGTCAAAAGAGCAGTAGTTTTAAATGCTATAGTTATTGTAGTCATACAATGAAGATGAGTGATACTCAAAAATATAAAATAATGCTCTTGGTTAAACATGGAGAATTGAATACGTATGTTTATCTCTACTTCATTCCACTGCCACTAAAATGGCAATCAATTAATAAAAAGTGAATAAATCCAGTAGGACAAAGAGAACAGGAGAGAAGTTAGCACTTGATAAAAAAGATGTTGACCAAAGCTTACAAAAATGGAAAGCAAGTGTCTGAGAGACAAATGACTTATCAGACTAGAGAATATTGAAACCTAATGCCTGTGAGGATTGGGGATGGGAGGATCCAAAACAGAAAATCTAGTTATGTGACACAACACTAGAGAGGCTCAGGAACTGGAGAAACTAGGTGCAGGCATAATTTGTTTTACTGCATGTCACTTTATTGTGCTCCATAGATACTCTGGGTTTTATTACAAATTGAAGGTTTATGTCAACCCCTATGTCGAGAAAGTCTGTCAGTGTCATTTTTTCAACTGCATGTGCTCACTTTGTGTCTCTGTGTCACAGTTAGGTAATTCTTGCAATATTTTAAACTTTTTCATTATTATTATATCTGTTATGGTCATGCAATCAGTGATCTTTGATGTTACTGTTACACTTGTTTGTAGGTGCTAAGAATGGTGCCTGTATAAGACAGCAAACTTAATAGATAAATGCTGTGTGTGTTCTGACTAATCCACTGACTGGCCAGCCCCCCATCTCTCTTTTCCTCAGGCCTCCCTATTTGCTGAGACAAAACAATATTGAAATTAGGGCAATTAACAACCCTACAATGGCTCCTAAGCATTCAAGTGAAAGGAAGAATTACACATCTCTTACTTTAAGTCAAAAGGCAGAAATGATTAAGCTTAGCAAGGAAAGCAAATCAAAAGTTGAGATAACCCAGAAGCTAAGCCTCTTGGTCCAGTTAGCCAAGTTGCGAATGCAAATGAAAAGTTCTTGAAGGCAATAAAAGTGCTACCTCAGTGAAGAATGATAAGAAAATAAAACAGCCTTCTTGCTGATATGGAGAAAGTTTGAGTGGTCTAGGTAGAAGATAAAAC